TTCAAATTTGCCGCGTCGCGACACGGCCAAATTTTGGTGCCGTTGTCGGGAGTGGCGCGATTGAGTTGTGCTTTTTTTTCTTTTAAGTATTATTTGAATTAGTTAGTTAGATTAGTTTTTATTTTATTTTTTACTCTTTTAATCCCCTTTTTACTTTTTTTTTTCTTTTGTAGGTGGTATTCATTCTATATGAATGCGTATTGGAGCCCGGATAGTGCTTACGCTTATGATTCATAGTATGAAATGAGAAGGAAAGAAATAAGAGACCAACATCGTGAGGCTAAGATGTCAGCTATGATCTAAGGAGTCATTGAGAGTGTTCGTCAAACTTTAAGGAGACCATGTCGTCTATGTCATACCACACGACACGTCACCCATGATTGTCCGTTTTTGTTCGAGAGGTATGGTGAACATAGAGCTACAGAGATTGGTATCAACAAGACGATTGGGCGTACTCGAATTTCGATAGGGACCATTACGGTTGGGGAGATCATGGAAATTCATTCTATGAAAATCCACAATATTCTCGATCTTATGAGCCTACTTATGAGCATGACGAATTTCAATTCCTGCGTGGAGGCTCACAATATTTTTCAGAACATTCGCTTGAACAAGAAGTTAGTCCATCTTTGGTGAACCTATTTAAGGATTGTCAAAATTCTTTGATGGCTAGTAGCAAAAAGATTGGTGATGTATCGAGCAAATTGGATGCCCGAGCCAAGAATCGACTTATGAGCATGACGAATTTCAATTCCAACGTGGAGGCTCGCAATATTTTTCAGAACCTTCGCTTGAACAAGAGGTTAGTCCATCTTTGGTGAACTTATTTAAGGAGTGTCAAAATTCTTTGATAAGATTGGTGATGTATCGAGCAAATTGGATGCCCGAGCCAAGAATCGACTTATGAGCATGACGAATTTCAATTCCAACGTGGAGGCTCGCAATATTTTTCAGAACCTTCGCTTGAACAAGAGGTTAGTCCATCTTTGGTGAACTTATTTAAGGAGTGTCAAAATTCTTTGATGACAAGTAGCAAAAAGATGGTGATGTATTGAGCGAATTGGACGCTTGAACCAAGAGTCGGCTATGTCAAACCGAAGCCAGCCACGATAATGTCGGAGACCTTGGGCTGAGTAGCGAGATGGAATCCGAAGTGCTGGAAAATCATGTTTCTGAGCCGATTGATACATTGTCTTAGAGATGTTAAACGGGCTAGCCCTAGCGGTTACGGGCTAGCCCTAGCGGGCTTCGGGCTAAACGGTCCGGGCCTAAAAAGCCCGGATTTAAACGGGCTACCAATAAAAGGACCTAACCCTAACCCTAGCGGGCTTCGGGCTAAACGGGCTTTAATAATAGTATTAATAATAATGTATCAAAAAATATCAAAAATAAAAAGAAAAAAATTATAAAAAATTACAACGACTAATTAACGATTGTTTTCAACGGTATTTATTATTTGCTGCTCTATATATACAATTACACATCATATATGAACACATACTACAAACTCTTAAATAATATTTTTTTTTTCAAAAGAAAAAAATATTCAAATTATTACTTACAATTACCATTTCACTACTTATATTTTGTACGCTTTGGAAATTTTTACGATATTATATCACTATAAATTCTATCACTATGTTTCATGTGTTAGGTCTTTGTCTCATTTGTTTCCTATTAGTCGTTCTGATTGAGTTAAATATTTTGGTGTGGAGTACAATAAGAATATTGTTAATAATTATCTTTCCAAATCAATATAATCCGTTACAGCTCATACTTATATGTGAAGTAGAATAACAAAATTTTAATATACAATGACTCTAAGAGTATATTATTTACTTGCTGCAAATATTTACAATGCCCAACTCAAGTTAAACGGGCCAACCCTAGCGGGTTTCGGGCTAGCCCTAACGGGCTTCGGTTTAAACGGTTCGGGCCTAAAAAGCCCTGATTTAAACGGGCTACCAATAAAAAGCCCTAACCCTGTTTTTTTCCGGGCTAAACGGGCCGGCCCGTCGGGCCAAAGACCGTTTAACATCTCTACATTGTCTACTGCTATCATGGCTCGAGCAGTTGGGCAACAAAGTACTGCCTCGCACGTTAGGTGTTGTATTATTGACTATTGTGTTCTTTATTTTTTGGGCAGTTCTGGGCCCTCAATTGATTAAAGCTGCTACTGTCTGTAGCCCCCTCTTAAGTCTTACCAAACGTAAATATTTGTACCACACAAAGGGGGTCATATTGTAGTGGTAATGTATAAGATTGTCAAAAATGGACCCGAGCAAATGTGCATATATATTATGAGATAAAAATAATGTTAAACACCACATTTGTGCATATATATTATGAGATAAAAATAATGTTAAACACCACATTTACTCAATAAACAATTTTTTTTTTAGTTGAAATTTTACATATTAAAAATCAATTTATAAAAAATATAACATTTTATAATACTAGTAAAGTGCACATGTGAGGCACGTGTTACAAATATTTTTTGCAGATTAAGTTTAGTAATAAATTAATTAAATTATTAACATATTATTACATGTACGAAATAATATGTAGAACAAATGAGCTCATAATTTTATTTTTTTTTTTTTTTAAAAAAACATATCGATGTCCTGTTAAAAAAAGAATGAAATAAACATATTACAAGTCCAACAAAAATATATGAAAAATGAATCCCTAATGGAAAACATAAACACTAAATAACTAAATAATAAACTAATGTATATTTACAAAAATGTATTTATAAATAGTTTATAAATATCTTATTTTATTTTTATATAAACATATATATTATATATTTATTCATAAATCAATACAAATTTTAAATAATTATACACAACTACATATGCTATAATAAGGGTTAATATAATGGTATATTTGTGTTATCTAATATATATATAAATAAATAATTCACTTGTTTAGTATATGATATGAGTGCAATAATATAAAAAAATATTTATTACAATTATAAGATATTATTTTCTAAAACAAATATTAATATTATCATAAATAAGAAAATAATATTAATGTAAATATTGAAATTATATATATATATATATATATATATATATATATATAATAATGATAAACGATAATATAGAGTGATTTCTCTATTTAGGTCTTTTTCCTTTTCCGAGCAAATATAGTGTATAAACAAGTTTTAAGCTTGGGTAACTATTTTAAACTTTTACTATGCTACTTGTTCATATTTTTCATGTTTAATAAATTAACTATATTTAGTAATGAATTCATATGGAGAAAAATAATTATGTCACCACGTGTCTCGCATGTACATTTTACTAGTGAATATAAATAGTGTCACAATGTTATGTTGACAAAATGATTACTTATTATTTCGTAAACTGTTTTGACCCTAAGATATAGCGATATGTGCGCAAATACAAGTATTTTTACTCATTGAGCCTAGAAGTGTGTTTGTATATTAATACTCAATCCCTATTCAAAATCTAACTCAACTTAACTCAACTTCATTATCGTCAATATCCTCCCTATATATAATTCCCGAATGCTCTGAGCCTACGTGGCTGCTTCTGGTGCTTCGGAATCCTATTTGGCGAAGAATCATGCTTCGTAATTAGGTTTGGACAAATAATATTAATATATTAATAATTAATAATCTAGGTTCGGGTATTCCATAAATATTATTTAGCTAACTTAGGTATTTTAATATCACTTTTACTAATATAACCCTTTAATTCTTTGTAATTTTAGATAGTGAGGCACTAAGTGACTAATATATCCCTAAATTTTGATTTGCTTCCTTCAATAAGTTATTGATTTATAAATGTATTTTAAAAGTAGATAACTTTTGTATTTCTTATTGGTTTTACATATACAATATATCAAATTAATTATCTTTTGATGATCTTCGATTTGACATCCATACTGTATATATAAAATAAGAAATTATCTTTACTCAATTGATATATTTATATTTAATGTAGTTATATATTATAAGTTTAAAAATTTGTATAAAGGAGCTACTTGCATAAAGTTTTAAATACAAAAGAGACAAAAAAAAAAAAAAAAAAAAAAAA